ACCAGTGTGTGTTAGCGTCGGGCACCCTGCCAATCAATTTAACGTATAGTAGTTTTTTTTTTTGCTTCTTGTGCAAAAAGAGCGAAGCGAATAATAATAACCATCAACAACGGAGATTCTAAAAGAATCGGCAGAGTTTTGTTGGTGACAGTGGCTTACAAAAAAGACTGCGCCCCCCGTTGCTTTGATTGTAGGTAATTGGCAGTGAGTTCGCATAGTTTCTTGTTTGTTGCACTGCCAACAGCATCAATGTGTTTTATTATTTTCAGTTTCTTTATTTTGGTTTCGAAGTTGGCTTTAATCAATCCAATCGTGTACTGAACACTGACGCAAACAGTGGTTGTATTCACAGAGATGCTCAACTCTGTTTCTTGTTGGCATGCGCTTATATTTTAAGCTAGTTTCCCAAATTAATGGTTTTCTGCCTGGCTGTGAAATACATATCGACAGCTCATAAATTAAAGTGTATTACGATTATACAATACACACGCAGCAGTGGAGATGCAACTGGTAAAGCTCGTCAAAAGATGTTTATCACACCGGATGAGGAGTGCGTAAAATTCCAAAACATGTAATTTTTAAGTGTATTTTGCTGAATGTGCGAATGAATAGGATCTTAATTTAGCTAAAATTCCAACAATGAATTAGCGGAATATAGCGGGCTAGCTAACATACTATATGTTTTACCGTAAGGACGTATACTTTTAAACCAAACCAGTCGTCTTCATATGCGCTGACTGCGGCACCAGCGTGTATCCAATTAGTGCGTTACGTGGAGAAGTGTGGGTCTAATCGTTGTTTTTTTCTGTCTTGAAATGTTGAAATTGCGATTGATAACATGTGGTGTGGTACGCGGTTTACTTCGTTTATACTGCAGGTGTGTAGCACTCTGCATTCAGAGCATCTAATAGAATCACTCGAAAACGTCTTGTAAGAACTAAGAGGGCGCATGCCAAAAAACAAACGATGGTTAGTGAATATCAGACAGAATCGTTCTTTGGTTTTTGGCGAGGGAGACAACCGCATTACTTTAATACAATTCAACCAATCTTGAAGACAATTGTTGTTCCAAATTACAATTCACATATGTGATGTATTTCGTATTATTAGGCGAATCTGATCAAGTTCCCCGTGTCAAAATTATTTTATTTTGTTCTTAATCAACTTTTTAAATTCTTATTGTCATTGTTTGCAACATAACATCATTTTTCTGATATTATATCAATGCTTTGCTTTGCTTTGTTTATTTAAAAAAAAAAAACATTTTAATGAAGTACCTCAGGATGGCCACTATAAACAGGTTTGGCTGTATTTTTAAAAATACCCCTGCAATGACAGACCTGTATGTCCGTTGGAACGCGGGACTTATTTTTAAGTGTTTACGGCATAATATGACTTCCTCGCCATATTTAATGGACGCCCCTCAAATTGTTGGTAGAAAGCCAACTTGTTCGTCCGTTTGTATTCATTTCAGATTTACTGAGCCCAAAAGAATCAACTATTTATTCATATCGAATTAATTCATTAACATTTCAAACAATTTTAGCAGTATTATTTTTTCAATGTCCCAATAATAGAAGCAGTGTTTAACAAACTCCATGGCTGAAATTTTGTTCAAAAAAAAAAATTATATCGAACAACTGAACACGAAACTAATCCGATTTGTAAGTACTGTGCAGCTAGGAAGATTTCAACTTGTTTTACGTCATTATTAAGTCTGTTTGAGTTACAGCTAGATTGATTACGCTCTGTGATTGCAATAAATGCGAAGTTAACTAGAGTTGTAGCGAGAGAACATAATTTGCTTTCAAATTACCAAGTGCACGTCATTCCGTGTTATTATTGAAGACTGTGTTGATGATTGATTTCATTTAAATTTAGTCCCAGATCGAGTTTTTATCATTATTGGCGGAAAATGTCGATAAATGTGAAAACATATAAGCATACAGTCTGGAACCCTGTGTTAATATAGTATAATATATCGTGAAAGTAGATTAAGCTTGCAAAACCATTGCTAGTTATTTTAGAATCTTGTTTATATCGGATATTTATTGAATTTGTCGTTAGTTGGCAGCCATCTGATTGACAAGAAAGGGAGTTGTTCGACTGTAAATCTATATGGAGATACCATTATTAGACTGTATAACTAAACTCACGTTTTATGGGGTTATAGACAAAATTAATTTAATTATTTGAAGGCAATATTTTTTATCATTTTTGCGGAATTTAGTCTGTCCGTTTAAGGGTCTAATTACACAGTTCTGATTTGTCATTTAAAGCGGAACATTTTTCAAAACACGTAGCGTTCGATGTGAGTTCCATGCGACGTGTACAACGCGTGCAAAATATACTGTTTACTTGAACGCGCGCCACATGACGACTGCGCTATTCAATAAATATAGAAAATAAAACAAAACCATTAGTGGGAAACTTTTTCACTTTTTCAGTGACGAATCACAATTTGTATCAATACACAGGGTCTCGTAATCAAATTTTTTTAATTTGTTATTTTTGGAAAGTTAAACGCAAGCGATGTCATTTTCTTATCACCCGTCATTTAAACTCTCGCGACTCGGGGACCAATATTTAGCCTCACATAGCAGTAGTGTCGAAGCATATATGCAAGGCCGAATTGTATACGTCAAAAATCAAAATGTCAACAAACAATAAAAGCTGCTATCTGATTGGTTTGATTGCTTGGTGTTGAACTGATGTTGGTTTGAACTGATGAATTTCATTTTCTACTATTTATAGTGACTTGTCAAGATGAATATTGACACATTTTTCTTGATATCACCCTGGTTCATAAATTCTGAGTACTTATACATGATATTCAATTATAACAAAATGAATAAATGGGATAAGAGTTGTTTAAAAAACGGCTTTGCATATATCGTGTGTTAGTCAGATTAATTACAACTGTTCGTCGCACAATCGTGAAATTAACTAATGCATCATGTCATGGGTCACATAAGCGCGTCATTGTTTTGTCCACGTTAAATTATAACCCCCCAAATGTTGATAAAAACAAGGCATTCAGTAACTGGCGGCCAAAGGGGTACTACGCATGCGCATTTGACCTTCACCTGCGCGATAGGTCACTAATCTCGTGGGATCGCAAAATCATAATTTCAAATTCACAGATATTTTTCCAGCCCGTAATAGTATACATCGAATAATTGTCATATTTTGTAAATATAGACATGTACATTCTACTCGGAGTGCAGACCGTTTCACAATAACTGCACTTAATTCTAATTTTGTTTCTTCTTTGACTGTCTTTTTAAAATGGAAATTATTATCAACAATTTGAGATAATGATTTACTTTGGGAATTCTCTTCAACTAGTTTAGAATGATATATATCTGTGTGGGAAAAAAAAGAAAAACGCGAAAATAAATGTGTCATACAACATTTTATTGCACAAAATAATAACTTAGATACCGTATATCGACGGTGACCTCATATATGCAAAATAATGGCCTTAACTTTAGTTAATATTCCTATATTTACATAAAAATCTACCATAGTATAGTTACAATATTCCTGCGTTGGCGGCCATATTTAATAGCCCAGATATACAGAATGATCTTCCATATATGGTCAACACTGTCTAACTCCGTGTCACGTGACGAGGACGCCTAGCGGTGGTGTGAGACACTATCTATTATAACACCGCCTTTAACCTAGCGAGGAAAATGAAATTGTGGCGATGTTCGTTCATGCGCTACTTGATGCCCGTGTTATTAAATAGATCAAAACCAATCAGATGTAATCGCATCGGTCTGAAAAGGGGAAATTAACAATTTCATCTATTGATGTCACGTGACACTAGCACGCCCTTCGGCAAATCAGTCTAAATTAATACCGAATAAAACGACACGTGTGAATGTATGACGTCATGGATCAACTGCCAAATTACCAGATAGAATATCATCATAATGCAATCATATTGAGTTGATGCTTTATTTTGATATATTGAGAGGCGCTGTCGGCACCTTCAAGTTGCCTGGCGGTTTTCATGTAGAAAATTATACCTTGAAAGTGGTTTTTGAATTATAAATCAACTTGTGTAAACAATTTGCCCCCGGAGCATTTGTCAGTGAGCATATAATAGATTCATTCATTTTGTCTTAAATTTTGAGTTGGGAATTGTTGGGAATTAATAAATTTAACGCACGCGTTGAATAACATGTGATATCGGGTAAATTTGGTTTGAAAATCTGGAAAAATGTGATAGGAAACGACCCGACTAGTTGCTTGCAAAAGTTGAATCTACACACAGGTTATTATTACTTCCCAATAAATTACACATTTTCAGATGATACCATCTTTTCATTAAGACACCCCTGCGGTTTATTTCTCAATTTCAAACGTTCACTAGCGAAGTTAGTGAACTCTGTCGAAACAGATTGTGTAAGTTGTACTAACGTATCACCGAGTTTGAAAATATAAGCAGGAAAAAAAATCGGAATGAAACGCATACCAAGGCCTGAGAGAAATGTTACATTTTGAAGTGAACTAGTCTGGCCGCAAACAAAAATGGACACTCAGTAACCGAGTTCTTGAGCCGCACTGGTGCTATAGCGCCCCCATTGTCATTTCGGCGTAATGACTACATTGCTGCAATCGCAATTGCTGTACGTATAACTTGAGAAGGGTATTATTGAGTGTTAAACAAATTCTATAAAAGTACACTGAAATTGACACAATATACCATGGTAACAACAATCCCAACATTTGATCACAGTTTCCTTTCGGGCACTCCGGATGAGCTACCAACAGTCCCGGCGACGGAACTTGAAGGGCGTAGTGGTACTTTTCTTCTACCATTGCAGTACTCGGTACGCTACTGCAGTACTCGGTACGATGCGGTTACACCACCCATACGTTATTTATATATATTAAGTATACTATATACTACATTTACTACGTGAGTGCTTGTTCCCTGAAAAAGGATAGTCCGGATAAAGCTTTCTCCGATAATGAAACACCCTCGTTTAGGAACTGTCGAGCGACGTCGTCGAATGTTCTTTGGCTTTCAGCCTTAAAGCGTCTATACTTGATTTTCTTATTCCGTATGCATCTGCTATATCTATCGGTGAGACCGCGCTGACTGGCAGTGAGGAATGTGGCGAAGACAGCTGGTGAAGCGACGCGGAAGACGTCGCCGCCGCCGTCAGCAAACTGCCTGGGAGACCATTACACATGTAATTGGCCAGGAGTCCATCAATTGATTTACCGTGGAAATAGGGCGCCGGCGCTGGAAGAAACGGCCCCCGAGGAGTGGTGAGTGCCTGCATCGGACCTACACCGGTCAAATACGGCAAATTGGCGACTAAATTGTTTGCCCACAATCTTTCAGCACTTGAATAATGAGCATTTAGTTCAGAGACGGGGCTCAAGTCGCCATTGTATGGAGATAGGAAATTTGGACTCTCTCTGCCGAGTGCTTTCTCTCTCTTCCGCCATTTTGCCCTCCTGTTCTGAAACCACACCTATAAGAGAACATAATATGAAATATCAATACCGGGATAATTTGCCATGCGTACAAAATGAGTTTAAAATTATAAACAAAGTAAAGCAAAATTTCTCACCCGGAATTAAACTGATTTTCATCGGGTGAAATGTTTTGAAAATTAAATATATTTCTCAGAAAACAAATTAAATTAACAATAACCGAAATTAAAGAAATTGTCTGCGTTGTTTTATAATTCAGGGTTCAATGTGAACATAGTATGAAAAAAAAAATAATATTGTGAAGAAACGAAATTGAAGAAGTGTCGTTTTGTTCCCCTGTGCACTTGTCACGAAATTATTGGTAAATACCACCAACGATAAGACGAACAATTATCGAAACATACATTTATACTTCTTATATGAGCTTAGATGACGTAAAAAGCATTATAACAACCCAATATTTTATTCAAACCGTTTCTGAGAACAATTAATATAGCAGTGCGTTTGCCCGTTTCACTCTGAAAATAACATTCTGTATATCCGCATTGTTGTTTTCAAACTGGAACATGATATTGCGAGTAAGGCGCGCGTGTGAGCATGTTTTTCTTTTCCAATAAAGATAGTTATAACCCCAAATACACTACGTGAAAATGCTATTTTAACTGTAATCAGGCGAATGATTTGTTTTTAACTACTAATAATTGCCACAATTAAGGAAGGATACAGTGTATTAATGGAAAAAGCATGTACACTTTTCATGTGAATCGTACAGCCACTAATTCAGTTATAGACTCAATAGGCTGGCTGGGAATTAGATTAAAAATGCCGCGTTTCAAATCAAATAAGAACAGGTTTTGAGTTATACAGTCCAGCCGATGAGTAGCCGGGAACGCAGTAGTATGCACACAACACGTATCCATGACAATGCATGTAGTTTACGTTTAACAAAAAACTAGGGAAAAAAGAACAAGCAGGAAAAATAGGGAAAAAAATCTCTCCTTTTGGTAAGTACAGCGAAAGAAAGCCCGAATGCACTGCGAATGAGCCAAATTGTCCATAATGAGGGGGAATTACAGAGATAATCAAATGGAGTGATAATTGACACGTGGAATTCGACAATTTAAGCAAAAGATTTTCAAATTGGCGCAAATTGCTAAAAGACAGGATACAGCATGACGAAAAGCATCATGCACACGCCAGGTTTGATGGGAAAAAAACACTACACTCATGGGAACCTCTATTTAGCTAGTAATATGCCAGTATTTACAGCTAATTGAAATATTTTTTTTTATCTTTGAAAGCAATTGTAGTAATTCGGTGAGCTATTCTGTATTTAACCTTGTGTCGTTGTCAATATGCTGGTATCAACCAATGTTCATTTCACTGACGTGGTGTCACGTGACTGTCACCTTTTCGGTTTGGGGTTTCAATTTGTCGGACAAAAAAAGAGCTGTTTTAATTGGTTGCGCACATCACTGTTATTCCATACAACTGAGATCATTAATTTTCCTTGATTTTATAAATACATGTACGATAATTTGATTTGATTTGATCCTAGCATGTGCTTGTCGAGGAAATGTACTCGTCATTTTTGTTTGTACTCGTCATTTTTGTTGGTATCAAGCCACAACATAATTATATGGAATATAATAATAATGCCGGCATTATCCGATGTGGTTTTTAAAATATATTTGTTATATACTGGATATTAAAATGTGGGTACGAATTAAATGCGCGCGCTCTCGGTGCGGAAACGTGCACGTGATGGCGGGGCGGTGGTCGTATAAATGATATTGACAAGCATGACTTCAACAGCGCGTGTCGGTGATAAATATCTTGCCTTTAATAATAACAATAAAATATGACTGTACAGCTGACCTATGTCGTTGTTTATTCAGGTAATCAAGTGTTATATCTAGAACATCAACAAGCGGGTACAACGGTAGTGTAGGCAACCGTGAATACACACGAGTACAGCGGTGGTGTAGGCGACGGTGAATACAGCAATACAACGAGATAATACAACTGGCATGAACCGTTGAGCACGTGTGTGACGCAGCCGCAGTACTCGCCAACATACCGGTACAAGAAGTCAATATAATACAGCATAGGCACATTGTACAATACAACCGGGTAATTTAATGTCCGCGCACCCCTATTCCCCGATTTTAAACAAAGATGATATTCAAGATATATTATAGGAACCGTACAGACATACGGTTGAATGAGTTTTTTTTAGGAACGTCTGTGAGCCACGGTGCTGGTAAATGGGGAGAAGGTGTAACTATTTGATTTGTTGGTTTCGTGTTGTCGATGGTTACTAGATGTGGACTTGATGCAGGCAGGGACGTGTAGACATCGAGGCATCACGTACAAGCCTCGCAGTGATGGGTGCCATCGATAAACATCTAATTTAAATGTCAGTTAGACGGGTCTAAGTTTGTCTACACTATAACTCTTTTCTCTTTAAGCGCCATAATTGTCTTCTTGCCAACATTCTGGTGCAAACGTTTACACCTGAATTTTTAGCATTCAGAATTTCTACGCTAATGTTGATCCAAACGGTCATAATTTTCCATTGCTTACGGGGCTTGGTCAAAATTGTTTTAACCAAAAAAATATTTACATTTTGTGAAAATTGACTTTGCTATTCAGAAATGAGTTTAAATACACGTTTTCTATTTGCTCATATTATATTATATTCTGTTTATCTTACGTGTTGCTTAAAGATAATATAAAACAGCTACCGAACAGCAAAACGAAGAAAAAAAATCATTTGTAAATTAAGCTGAACCAATTTATATTTTAAAGCAAATCAACAATAAAATGAAATGGAAAATTTGAGAGTCTTTCATAAAATGCTCACTTGTGAAGAATTTAATGACAAAAAAGGGGTCTGGTCGAAATTGTGAAAATGGAGAAAAATAAGCAAAGGAGGCTATGGCAAGAAAGACTGAATTAACAACTTTATATGACATTGTCTGAGAATATTATATAAATTTCTTTTTAAATTGAGTCGAGAGGAACTTTGCCATTATAGAAGTGAAATTAACCACTATGACTTGACATGCATTGTGTGAGTTGATTGTCGGTTTCGCCAACATGTCACAAAAACACACCGAGCGTCGGTTTTATTTCATTTCACTTTCACTGGAGTGTGATAATGATGATGATGCTGGTAATAGCGCCAACCAAGCCTGTCAAAAGTCATTCGCAGGCCTGCACTCAATACCCTCGTCAAATTGGTGGCAATATCGTGTTAATTTCATTGCAACGAAGCAGAAAAGGGGTACGAAAAGTGAATAGGGCGATGTAATATACACTATGGTTAATATCAAACAGCCTCTCACAATAAAAATTGCTCGCTCAGGAAATTGAACTCTTTACCCCGGTGAGTTTCTTTTTTTCTTTTCTTTTTTTTTCGACAAAATTGGCTATGGCAATTAAATCCAGAATCGAGCAAACCCGTGGAAATTTGGCTGCCTATATAAAGGCTATGACTTCCCTCAATTACTCGGCTAATATTGGAATGCGATGTAATTACTGTGAACGAAACAAAGAGACTTTTTTCTTTTGGAAAATGATGCAGGTTAAGTGTGTTCTATCATATTTCCTGTGTCCGTGCATGACCCACACCGACGCGAGGAAACACGAAACATCGACCAGTATATATATGTAGGTAAGTTGCCCCATCCGCGCTCCGTTGACAATCATGCACCATTTAAATGACGAGTATCTTCATAACTGCGTGTAAATCCTGTTGGCTGATGATGAATTGATAGTTGACAATATTTGAGATAAATACAGTACGATCTGTGTTTTTTTTTTTTAATTTAAAAAAATATATATATAGGGTATTAACCTAAACAACTTGTTTCACATGTCAATTAATATTTGGAGTAAATTGATTCACTTCACTTTGGGTCAGATGAATGCAAGAAGTAATCTATCAGACTAGTCTGACAAGAGTCCAATGAAGTAACTGCCATCGTGAATTGTTTAATTACAGAAAAGGCCCCTAAAACGTCCGACAACAACCACTCCTGTTATTGCAACGATGTGTTAATGTGTCTAACGGCCAATGCAGTGAGTTTTAACAATTGTACTAATTAAATTAATAAATCCAATTGGCGCTTTTAGAACCAGAACGGAATGTGTGCTAACCGACAGTTACTGGCGTGCATTTTTGGTTTGTACTACAGTATACTACTGTCGCACAATGTGAGTGGCGTTCGGTGGGCACTGGGCAGAAGATATGATCTGACGGTAACATCCCTCGATGGAAGCACTTAATTTATAACGGACGAAAATAATTGAGTAACAAACAATTTACCCGTGTGTGTGTTTGTGTTAATTAGTCAGGCGACAACGCAACCATCTAACATAGCTATTTTAGTACACTGTCGTACCTGCCAATCATAATGACCCGAACCGGGAACGGAGTGATGATGGCGGCCACTGACTATTTAATTTCAACTGAGAGCGATATGACAAACTTTTATTTATTTTGTGATCCGAATTGTCATTACATTTATCTTTAAATTTACAATACAATACAATACATGTAAACCTTAATGCTTACCCACGCAATTTTGGGCAACACTAACACGCAACAAGTTAGCATTTTAACTAAAAGTCTATTTGTAAGCGCCTGTATGTCAACAAGGTCTAACACGCACACGCAAGTACGTATTTTCCTTCCTATGGTGTGTTCGCGCATACGGTGCATACTTGCAGCAACCGATCGGAAACAGGTTTTAAAAAAAGAAGCCCAACAAAAGATTTTTAAAATTGCTGAAACAAGATACATAGCCCGGATGTCAGGCGAAGAGCCCTAGATAGCGTGCAAGCTTCGTCTGGTAGCAACCTCTCAACAGAGCATATAGGGTCTATTCAGAGAACTATACATACTGATAAACTATGTGGATTATGTCATATTGTTGAAACAAAATGTTTCTTTGAGATAGAAGACCAATATTCACCAACTTGATTGGTTTAATGATCTATTATAATAAGAGCTCCCACCGAATGTTGTTCTTTTTACTACCTTCTAAATTGGCACTAATATTGAATTCTTTTGTTTGTATCAGCGTTGCACAGACGGGGGATCCGCATGGCCGGCATGTATGCGATTCAATCTCGGTCCACTATACCGTATGGAGCCGGGTATTAGTACGTGAAAGAGTTATCCGGGTTATTGTTGGCTTTCACTCAACATTATGTGCGGAGTAGTCGAAAACAGGGCGGGTACGTATTGGTAATTGCTCACTGTCGGGCCACCACATGGTCAGACCTCGTCAATGATCCTTAGTGTGTTCACCATTCGTGATAAATTGAGCGAGAATTGACATTTTATCGGTGATGTTGAGAAACAACAACTCATACTTAATAAAAGCTCCACCCTACATGTGTAATGGAATAATGTGACATCGACCGTATTTTGTGTGTTGAAATAATATATATCTATTACTTTAATTTGATATTTGTTTACTACGATGTTCGCGGTCCCCATGTAAGTAAACTGGCAATTGAATAAAACCATGGGAACGACAAGATATCCCTAATTAATCGCTAGAACATTAAAAAAAATATCATGCCTCATCATGCAACGTTTTCGATGAGTGAATGTTTCCAGAGGGAAGGGGAAATAATCGCATATTTTACCATTGATGATAATAATGACGGCGTTGTTGTAAGAGAAAACATCAAGCAATGCAAGTGTTATTTTATGCGTGTTTTTCAGTCATGGTCGACAGAAATAGCCTTATATTTATGTATAAACATATAACCTTACAACATATATTGGCAGAGATGTTATTTTTTACAATTGGAAGTTAGATACATATGGACAGGGAAAACTTGGTAATTAAAATGGCAACCGGTCGACTACCACCAACAAGTATTTTTAAAAGGAACTACCCGTAACAATTCCACTTCAATTTATACTGTTGTTCAGTGCAACCAGAATAAACTCGGTGCGGTATAGCGTTACACTAATATCTCCAATCCCGTTCTTTAATTAATTTAATTGTGGCCAATATGGGCTTCAGAAGCATATAATCCATGATTTCAAAATTCAATTTATTCGAAAATAATCCCTTTTCGCATAAACATAGAAAACAAATGGGATGGGAAACGATCTCGATGCTCTGGGGAAAATATGCAAATCTGTTAATCGCCCAACAATTACACTGCTGTTTATACAGGTTGGGCATAGTTTGGTTTTAATAAATGAACGTTTTCAATCCCTAGCTAAGATCGTTTAGTATTTATTTTAGGAATCGCACGGATGGCTAAACTCATAACCCTGTTACTTCGTGGCAAATGCATGGTGTTTGTAAACTGTTGGTAAAGATACTGGTGCGTCGTGATGAGCGGAAAATAAGACTCTGGGTTGCCTAGTAGTCATCATGACATGTTCTTTTTTAACAGTTTAAAAAGATACAACAGTTTTATTTCAGATTTGTGTTTTTGGTGAAATTATAGTTAATACTGTCACGACAAAGGAAAAAAAGGTTATGTGTAGGCGTCTAATTCTTAACGTTTCAGTTGTTTTCGACAAAATGCTATAAATATTAATGGTTTTATTTGCTTTGTCTTAAAAATATTTTGTTAAACCTTTAGATGACTGTTTGTAATTTAGAGAAAATACAGTATATGTGTGAGAATGGTTAAGTATTCTAACAGTGGAGAAGTATTGGCTATCATAATGTTGTACAGATTATCGCTACTACACACCTGTAGTTAATTTCATTAATTACATGGCGCCGAATTATGTGTATACACAATGTGTATGTATATTTCACATGTAAAAATCTTTTTTCTCTGTCGTATTGTTTTTCATATTGATTCTTCAGATAACTGTATCACCGTGACAACGTATTATTTCCGCTGGTTTGGATTGACTATGCCAGGAATATCGAGGCTTTTAGCTACGAGCCGATGCGGTCACGCTACGGGGGCCATGTTAACGTATGTCCCACAACACTTGCTGAGATTGGATATAGAGTTGACGCTGAACAAGGCGTCGTCAAGTGGAGCGTAGATGCTGGCAATTTACCGAACAAAACACTTTAAATTGGGGATTGTGTTAGGAATTCCTAAAATGGTATATGAGGAGAGGTTTCAATTGAACGTCGACAGATTTCCACCCTTCTCTGCACTCGTAATACACACAGGGAAAAGCACGCGACTTGCGTTCCAACGCGCCCACATATTCTCGTCTAAGTATTCCACATATTCCCATAGTCATAGGCGCCATCTACGTGATCATTCAAGAAAATGTTTAAGTACTTGTTTCTCCTTTCCAAGTTCCAATCATACTATTGCTAGTTCTACCCTGTCGCAGATAGACAACTAACCTTTAAATGAAAAACAGTCCCGTATTTCGTGTAATAACGTCGGTATTACGTCATAATACATAAGCATAATGGCGTACCCCCGCGTCCATCCACCTATGCAAGTCCAAATATTGAGATTTTACCTGAGTGTGACGCAGGGGAGCCGTGGAATCGACGTACATTTTCAAAATTGGATGCAAACGACAGAGCAAAGCCCATTTCACGTGTTTAACAGCAATTATCTATTTTGCGTGTTGTTTACGTAGAAGGGTACAGAAAAATTAAGTCAAATAACGTTTCCCGGAGGCGATGTTGACCGTACCTTAGATTGTCCTTGGAATAAAAAAGAAATTAAGTCTAGACAGAGTGCTTTCTTATACAGGTCGGAAAATCAACTTTCCCCTCTCTGATACGGACGCCGCGCATACATGGGTGCGATTCTTGGGATATATTTTTTATCATTTTGAGAGAGTTATCAGTTTACATAGAGACTATATGATGATGTATATTGTTTCATGGCAAGACATTACTTCTCTTTCGTTTCAACATTCATAATGGTTGCCACGGTGTACATCGTATATTTCTACTCTTCGCTAAGCTAAAAATTATCATTATTGAAGGATGACTATACATTTTAAAATTTCTGGCTTGAAAACAATCATCATCTACTTGTTTCCTTCCGTAAAAATTCGCAAAAGCAGCGAAGAAATGAGAATAAAAGTTAAAAAACAGTTAAATTTGTGATTGTTTACCTGTACTCTGGCTTCGCTGAGGTCCAATCGGAGAGCGAGTTCTTCTCGAGTGAATACATCCGGGTACTGTGTTTTTTCAAAAGCCCTTTCTAATTGGTGCAACTGGTAGGTGGTGAACGTTGTGCGACTGCGTCGTACTTTTCGTGGTTTCTCCGACGGGCTATCTTGTTCCGAATTTGGTTCTAGTTTTTGATCGTCGCCGTCTTTGGAACTCGCCTCAATACTCTCGTCCAATAAGTGTTCACAAACCGGGGAACCACTAACGCTTCTTGAGGGTGTTTTCGCTTCGACATCTGGAAAGTGAGGGAATGGAAATGAGAACGAAATAAAAAAGTGGATGACTGACACAACCAGAAACCAACTTCGACATGTTAACTGACATTTCAATATACACGAGACGCGCAAGATTTTGACAACTAATGAGATAACAAACAAGGAAGCAATCTTCCGTCGTTATAACTTGATAATTTGAAAGTAACGCACAGGCAGTGTGGGGCATCTCGAGCACGTGTAACTGAAATGGCGTTTTAGCTGTCAGCGCGTAATATTCACACCTACTCAAATTTCTGGCATTTTATCCCTCATTTTCTCAATTTAACTAAATATTAAATAAAACCGTCTGCGAAATTAATAGTAGTGTTACACTCTGGTACGGAGATTATACAATAGAATACATATTCTCCAACTTCAGATGATGAAAGCTTGTAAATACGGGTGTCATTATGTTTGCCCTGTTTATATTAATTCTGAACGAACCGAGAATTTATCAATTGCATACAAAGGGAGGAATTGACAGTGAATAGCCAAATAATAAATTGAGTTAATAAAGGCCCATTATCCCGCCTATATCAGCTAATACCCCGGGGGATTTGTTTAATTAAACTATTTTTTTTATTTCTTGTGATATTATTATCAGCCCAATACTGAAGAATAAAACGTAATGTGTTTAATCGGGGCTATTACTGAAACTAGTGAATCGCCACAACAAAAAGCTGCAAATAAAATACTTATAAAGAAAATTACTCACTGATTGATAGACACATTTTAACATGACATCGTAGTGTTCAAACGTAGAACAGCGTACAATGAGATAAAGATGCCGCATAATATCCTAGTATATTCACTCATTTGTAAAACGGGGCAAAGTAGTGAAACAGACACGCGACATATTAAATTAATTTAATATCATATCATGTCAACAAACGGCGCCTGAATGAACTAATTAATTAATCATTCGTCAAATTAAGAGTTGTGACAAAACTGAATGTGTCTATTGAGGTGGAAATAGTGCGTGCAACTATCGTACACAGTCACAAAGAAATAAAATTATTACTATCGTGTAAGCGACTAAATTGGGTGGAGTATTTGACGGATGTAAAACTAGAAGACGTGGATTTTATTTACATTGATGATATCGCTTATGTAGTATGTTTCTCGTCCCTTGGTGGGTACAGTGAAAACAAATCGTCATCCCGTGTGTTGTTCGCGTCAGCTTGTGATGCGGTAACTCGTCGTAACTCTTGACTAACACTCGTGTAGCATCCTGTTCTGAAGTCTATTAGCGCAACGTTTTGCAATTACTGTGTTTGTATCATTGTTTTAAATACAATGCACATAATAATATGATACGAGAAAGCCGCGCTTAGAAAGCTGAAAGAACGCACACCATGGAGGCTCGGGCTAGGCTGGGGAAAGATCACATGATACAGCAAGGCTTGAGCGGAGGATTCAGCAACAAGCGACGCCAGGGGAGGTATATTTGTTGCCGGTGTCACTAGTTAAAACAAATAAACACATACAGAAATATACCACTGCGTCAATGAACTGAACGTACATGAGCACCGCGGTGCCAATAATGCAGGTACTTCGCATATTCCGTTTCCAGCACAAAATATAATTTGATGAACTTTTACCGCTTTGATATTTGGTGATATAGAATATTTCCGAATTTACAATGAACATGTTTCAAATTAATGCATTTTCTTTTGTCTGGACACATTAAACCACTGAATGTATCATAGTGAGTAACCTACCGTCGATTGCTGGTGTACATCCACGGTTTAGCGGCGGCGTTGCTCGCTCGTCATTCACAGCACACCGGTCCGTTTCGGACCGTGACTCGGTCGCGGCCGGACTCGCTGCCTCGCCTAGCCTGTTTTCCATGTTGCTCAATGTTATTTGGGGTGACCGGGAGAGAGGGGAACGTGGCGGAGAAGACGGTCGATTTCCCAGTATACTGTCTATGGAGTAGGCGCTGGCTTTTGATACGGCGGAGTTGCCTCGGTGTAGCGGTGGGGAGAGCATGCTGCTGCACTGTAGTGGTTTCGACGGGTTAGTGATAGCATCCATACTGACGGTCGGACGTAGTACTTCCGAAGTCATATCTTTTTGGAATATTTAGGTGCCGAGTGTTAGTGTATGCACGTCCGCTGTTGTAGAACTGCGATGGACGTATACAACAGAGCAAAGGTATATGCAGATACGTACACGACGTTGCTTCCGTGGTCTCAATACCAAATAACACTGCAATCCATGTGTACGATTTCTTTAAAGCGATCACTTGTCAATCAAGGCGGCCAAACAATTGATTCATTGGTGATGCCCTGTGTGCTACTAGCATTAAAACACACTGTTAATGCAATTACCCACAATACCCTCTAAGCGCTTCGCAATTCGCTCCGTATGTTCGAGTTGGGCGCTTCCCTCGACCTCGATCTGGTGTAATCGCCAATAGGATAAGGGAGCTTTGCGCGGGACCCCCTCGGTGGAGGGAAATAGTCTAGTTGCTAGTTTGGGGTCCGTACACCGATTGGACATCTAAAATAAAGTGTTTCTACGCAACCTGCATGGTGATTCATATCCATATTCATTCATCTAGATCGGTAGGGCTGCCAAATTTGTCCCCCGGCGCCGAGAACTAGAATAATGCTCCGTGGTCTGTTTATCCGATAATCAAATGTAGGCGGGAAATGGTCCTAGTAAGCCTTTTTAACTCCTCCTCTGTCAACGGAAGATGAGTGAGAAAGAAAAGGCCCTAATGAGTAAGCACTCCATTAGTAACAATGCGAATGTTTGTTTCAGTCAATATGCTCCGCCAACACTAGTCGTCTCTTTGTTTACAGGTTCCCACCGCGGGCTTAACATTATCACCTCCGTGTAGAATCGGGTTGTCCTCAACACTGTCGGATAGCAACGCTAATTAGGCAAGTGAAACAGTCACAGTGGGACGCTAAGCCGAGACAGAAAAGAGTGGTTTGGTTTTTTGTTATCGTTTTATAAAAAAAAAACTATGCTCATTATTAGTCTTCCGCATTACTTTGAAAGTAACGTGGCCATGATGAATCGGAATTCTTTTAACGTCTGTACCGGCATGTGACTACGAGTACACCACGGCGTCAATATGTGTCAGAACGGATTGTTTATTTTAATAAAAACGGACATATACTCTAAGATGGTATGAGATACTAGAGAATTTAAACGCAAAGTGTAGATGACAGGGAAAAATACGCACATTCCGGACTTTCATTGACGCGACTGTGAAGTTCACCTATGTTAGGGTGAAGTGGCTTCTGACATAACGCGTTTGCCAACAGCCACTCAGTGCCATTCTCTATAATGGCAAACATTCAAAACACGTGACATAAAGAGGTTGCAATCGTCGAGTCTCATTCGTATTGAAATCGTTGAGTAGTGGGATCTTACAAGTCCATAGATGTGAAAGTTTGCAATCATTATAACCCGTGTATGACGACTGTCGCTCTCGGATATCTTTTTTGCTCTGGATTTGTTTTATTATAAACGCTGAATTATTTCGCAAACTTCCCTGGTACGAGTCGTATTAATAACCTACCAGAGCGCATTTATATAGCGATAAAGGTACGAAGATATTAACAAGGTTAGAATCGTACTATTGTCCATTTCACAATAGTTGCACAGTGTCACGTCATTCGGCACTTAGAAAAATCAACAAGTTTATCTCTTCCCACCCCTACACGGATCGTGTTTTAAAAACAAACCCATCTTGAATGGTAATTAATTGATTGTACCATGTACTGTTCTATTAGCCAGAGGGGTGCCAACGACTTACATAACAAACAGCATAACAATGAAGAACAAACCGTCTTATCAAGCACTACCCCACCTTGTTTGAATTAGAAATTATCGACCTGTAGTCGTTTACATTACCAATCAACGCAGACCAGTCAAGACCACCCAAATCACCGTAAATTGCAAGTTGAAGTAGGCACCTCAATCCATCTGTATTAGCCGATGGGTATGTACCTGTGTTACTTGGGGGGGGGGGCTGTCTTTCACATCTCCACACAGGCGTCACTCACCCCCTAAATACCAAGGTACTTGTTTTAAGTTGTAGAATTTCGACACATATTTTTTCTCGTTAGCAGTATTTTGTCAAGAGAATAGTTCTTGAAATCTTGACTGAGTCGCTAAGTATATTGGAGCATACCAGTCCTGGCCCGCTATGTTGTGCATTCCAGTGTCCAGCCATGTGAGACTTGCATTCCCGCATACCATGCCGCACTTGAGCGCGTCGGGTGGGACAACCAACACGGAAAACG